GCTGGTGGGGCCCCGCTCCCTGCTGCTCCCCCGCAGCCTCCAGCTACCGCTGACTCCAGCTCTGGGCTTCAAGAACAAGGCGGTGCTCAGGAAGCGGTGTCGGGACTGCTACATGGTGAAGCGGAAGGGGCGCTGGTACGTCCTCTGCAAGACCAACCCCAGGCACAAACAGCGGCAGATGGTGTAGACCGCGCGATAGACTCCGACCCTGAGAACGCTCTTAGCCATGTCAGAGAAAAATACAATTCAGGGCTCTGTAGCCTCGATCCTGCTGGTCCTGGGCCTTCCTTTCAGTACTTTTTAGCAAGCCAAGTATGGACAGGACGTGCCAGAGCCAGCTGGGAAGGAGCTTTCTCTACCGTGCGCGCCCTGGAAGGTGGAAAATACGGAGAAAGCAAGGCTGGTTTCATGGGTGATCTTAGAGCACAGTTCTCCAGCAAGAGCTGAGTCCGCAGGCCCTTACCTGGTGTGGATGTGAACACCTTGTCACGCAGTCCTGTCTGAGGATGAGGGTGGAGGAACATTCACAACAATCTAACTCAAGGGAAACTTTCTGTCGAGGAATAAATGCAGTTTGGTCAGCAGTTAAGTGTGTTTGTCATCCTTGGCCTCAGGCCAGCAAGTTGGGAGTTTTTGGAAAGCGCTGGTCAGTTATCCACTCAATGAAAAATGACAGACAATACGCTAGCGGCTTCACAGAGGAATCTACAGTACTGGGGAAGGCACTGTGGTCCCAGCATTTTGGGAGACTTCGTTTGGGTCTCTGGGACCTGATTGGTCCCCTGCTATGAGCCCCAAGTTGATAAATCGTTCAAACCCAGGGAATCTGAGGTTCTTCTGGCAGAGCTGCCCCACCTGCAGCCAGCAGTCAGGGAGATGCAGGGTTAAGCTATTCCAAAGGGTTATTATGTTTAGTAAGAGTATTTTACTGGGAAGCTTAGCCACATGGATGGAAAGAGTTCACATTACTGAAAGCACAGGCAAAAACTCCTAACAGGCAATGTGTCACATGCTCGCCCCGAGTCATGCTCTCTCACTGATGTAATTCTTACACTATATTTTACACTCTACAGAGGAGGAAATTAGGCACACAAGACCCCAGGTCACACTGCTGGTTAGGAGCAGGCTTGGAATTCAAGTCCGAGCCCTGAGCCCTGAGCCACAGTTCACAACCACCTCTCAGGTGGGACATTGGACACCAGAGATGACGCACAGGAGGGGCAGCTGTGCTGTGAACACCAGGCTCTGGCCTAACACACAGAGACAAATAGACTCAGAGAGCCAGAGAGTCAGGCGGGTAGGTATCAGTGAGACACTGAGGGTTGACAGGCCGCAGCTCTAGGCTGCGGTCGGGGGAGGAAGGCCGCTGGTTCTGCCTGTCTGGGCTGGTGGCAGCTGGGTCCCAGAGCCCCGGGGCCCCCAGGAGAGCAGTCCACACACAGGTCCCTGGTAGCTCCTCTCTCTCAAGCCTCTAAGCTGAGGGCTGAGAGTCCCGGTCAGCCATATTGCTTTGTCTACCTTAGGCGTCCCCAACGAGGTGAGGCTGGACCAGACCTGGCAGGTCTAGCAAGGTGTTCAAGGACAGTGTTGCAGGGCTATGCTCAGGGCAGAGGGTAGGGTGGACATGGAGGGTCCACAGGCCCAGGTCCCAGTTTAGGGACGATGGTGGTGGCCCAGAGTGAGCAACAAGTAGAGGTCAGAGGCACCAGCAGAGGCCACTTGGTTAAGGCCACTGCCAGAGCAGAGGGGACTGTTGGACTCCACCTCACACGACCAGGGTACTGGGCATTCATCCACTTTCCAGCCCTGAGCCAAGTCTCCCCAGACCACCCACACCCCACCTGTGAGTCCCCATGGGCCCCCTGGCGGCTTCCTGAAGGGAGGAGCCATCCAATCGTCACCTCTTGCTGCTCCAGGTTTCCCGACACCTTTCTGGGCCTCCCAAAAAAGTCCAGAATGCTCAGGCCAACGTCAGGCCCTGACAGCCTGAGAACACCCTTAGGTGACCCCTAAGGAATGCAATGGTAGCAGTCACTTAGCTCCTGCCCAACCAGCTCAGGCTGCAGAGGAAATGGGGCCACGGCCTGGGTCCTACTCCCTGGCTATCTCTCCTGCCAGAGCTGAGCCCCTCCCCACCTCTGAAGCCGGCCTCCTGTGGGAAGAGTCAGGTAACTGTGAGGCCTGGGGAGACCCGAACCCTGAAGTGGTCACCCACTCTATATGACCACAGCCGAGTCAGACCTGCCACGTGGCTGGAAGGGAGCTGCCCAAGATGGAGACCACAGACACCACAGCCATCTAGGAGCCTGCCCCAGTGTTCACGGGCGAGGTCTGCACCCCCCACTTCCAGCCTGGCTGGCTTCTGTGGCGTCTCTGGGGATGGGACAGGGTGGAGCGTTGAGCCTCTACAACTTCTGCTCTGGCCCAAGGACTTCAGCACCTGCACCAGGGGCTTGACACTCCCTGGGTGCCCAGGGAGACATCTTTCAGACAGTGCTGGGAGTCCAGGATGACTTCCGGTCCAGGAGCAAGAACAACTACACTTTGGGGGCACAACCACCTGCTGATGGCCACCAAGCAGGGACCCTGAGCTGCATCTCCCCAGCTCATGAGGATGTAGCAGTGTTGCTATTTAAGCGCTTGCCCCAGATGACCAGAGCCCTGGGCTGCAGAACCACAGCATAGGGACCCAGGAAGAGCAGCCAAAGAGGCCCTGGTGCCAAGACAGGAAAGACAGTGGGATAAGCAGCTCCTGCAGGGCTAGGAGGGAGTCAGAGTGTGCAGAGGGCGGGGGCTTCTGGCACGACGGGGGAAGGGCGAAATTGGAAGTTTCAGGGAGAGTCTGGAGCTTGGAGATGCTCACCACACACAGCAGGCTGCCCTGGGTTGCCCACTCGATGTAAGCTGTGGGCATTGGCCTGGCTCGGCCTCAGCTGTGACCCGTGGCCTCAGCACCCACCATCTGGACTGGAGAGGAAGCCGTGCGCCCCTGCCCGAGGGCTCACACACCCACACTCACCCCAAGCACATGGGATACCCAGAGCTGTCCCCTGCTGGACCTCTGTGCAGTGCACGGCCTGAGTTCAAGCCAGCCTCCGTGTCCCCCACTCCTGTGTCCCCTCCCCCGTGTCCCTCTCCGGCTTCCAGGACAAAGCCCTGCCAGCTTGCCCTCAGCCCAGCTTTCAGAGTGACTTGTTCTTCGCGGCCT